ATCATTGGAATGTATTGAATATTGTTATCATGTAGAATCAAGCAGTTTGCTGATGTATTAGCGTAAGATTTTAATTCAAAACGCACATCCACTGGAACATTTTTTTTTTTGCAGACTCAGTTGATTTGGTGATCTAAGGTGTGGAGATCGGTTCGTGATACGTGCCCGTTGAAGACTGTCCCGTTTGCCCGAACTCATTTTCCCTTCGTAGCTGTGAGGTTCATCCAGTGCAGACCTTGGAGACGATCGGTGATTCCTGGTTTAATGATTGTAGAGTCGAGAGAGTAATGTAATATAAGGTCGTCGGTCACCGGGGTTCCCAGCCATGCGATGAACAACTCCACCCGTGACGTCTGCCAGTGAATGACTGACTTGCATTAATGGTATCTAGCTTTATATGGTCTTTTAGTCAGTGAATCGTTGCCGGAAATGGTAGTAAACATGTATTTGTTGGCAAGATAGTTTAACTTTAGACGGCCCTGAAAAAAACCAATAAGGAAGATGGTTAATTAAGGAACGTAAATACTGATGATGGCCCTGAAAAGGGCCAATGATAATACTTTCAGTCATTCCTTATTATTTTTCTCGATGATGCCGAGCCAGCTGTGGGTAGCTTAACTTTTACCCTCAGAGTCTATGCGTACGGATACTGTGATGGAGGGAGGTACGCCGCTGGCCTAAGAATATCTTGTCTTTGGGTTGTTTACCGCATAACCAACCGTTCACCGTTGGTCAGGAAAGTGGGCCTGGAGAATACTTCAACTGTGGGTATGCCGTTGGGACAACCACTGAGAAGGTGGTCGCTGTGGTTGCCCAAAACTACATGATCTTACCCGTGGTAAGAGAAGTGTGGTAAGTTATACTTCCTACTCGACGTCAGATATCCTTTTGACTGCTATAACTATTTGTGACGCCAGAACCTCCTACTCTATGTTTTCTTTCATACTTTTACATATACAGCAGTGTAGTGGATTATATGGACACATGCACGGACAAATTTGAAAACTATCAAGCCACCTTACTCGTGCTAGGGCAACTTTGAATCCGTACATCTAATAATGCTTCCTACTTTTTTTTGCTGTTTCTACTTGTAGAAAATTAATGAGGATGGTGACATATCATCTGATTATCTCATTATTTTGCATGCAACGACAAATTTTTTCTATCTTAACAAGTACCCATATTCCATATCACCCTATCTCTTTATTATTATATTCACTCAGGCAACTTTATAAATCCATATAAATTGTGAGCGATGTAGTGGTAGAGAGCCACCTTTAGGTCTAAAATATTTACTTTTTAAAAATAAATCGATTTTTTAATATCAAAGAAAAAAATCGATAAAAAAAATTAGTTTGCCTCGGCAGTAATAAGCATCTGGTTAAAAAGAAAAAAGCCATTTTTAATCCAAATCAGTCGATGGAATCTTGAGATGATTCAATCTATACTGAAACACGTACACCTACACAGTTATTCTTTAACTTAGTACGTTATTTTTCGATGAATTTCTTGATAACTCAAAATACTTGCAATATGCAGTAAACAAAATAAATGTAAAAAATTTATGAAAATAAAAATTGAGTATTAGCAGTGCCGAGTATTAAACCAAAAAAAGTCATGTTGCATCAAAATCGGTCAAATGTAATTTTAGAGAAGAAGTAGAAAAAAGTACAAATGTTATAATATATCCATGCCGATAATAATTCTTAACAGCATCCGTTGACTTTGCAAATTTTTTTCCGAACGAAAGATAGATTTTATAAGTGATAAACATGCTTCAAAAAAAAATTCATTTATCAAGAAATGACAGTGATTTTACTGCAGTGCATTTTTAAGAGGCATGAATTTTTTTACTGCCATGTTGATTGGGCGAGTTGCCGAATCAAATGAAAAATAAATAATCATAGCACATGACAAATACGGGGGCTTGAAAGACACGAAGATAATATTTTTATGAGAAGTTTAAGCAGGTACTAGCTTGACAATTTAAAATATCTCTCGAGAGCTTAGTTGTGAACGCGATGGCAATAAGGTAAAAATGGCTTTTTTCTTTTTAATCAGATGCTTATTATTGCCGAGACAAAACAATTTTTTTTCAATGGATAAAAAATCCATTTTTTTTTAAAAAGTAAATTTTTTAGATTCAAGGGTGGCTCTCTACCACTACATAGCACAAAATTTAAGTGAACTTATAAAGTTGCCTCATTCAATATAGTAATAAATAGATAGTGTAATATGGAATAGGGGTACTTGTCAAGATAGAAAAAAATTGTTGTATAAAATTTACTATATTCAATTTAAGTAAAATCCTAAAATTTAAAATCACACTCACAAAAGATAGGAATCCTTTTCATTTTTCATCTGATTTTAATTTTTTAGGCTTGTTCTACTTTTTAAAAGTCTTAACATAAGGTGTAACAAACTTACGGCGGTTCAGGTTAGCACAAGAGTGGAACGAGCACACGAGCAAAATCGGTCGTTAGTGGCCTCCGTGCGGGTATAAGGCCTGGCCCAGACTTGCTCTGTTTAACTACTTACTTCATTTTAAAAGAATTGTATTATTATTGTCTTAAATAGTTTATCTTATCTTTGTCCTCCTAGTCTCCTCGTATTATTGTAAACATTTTTTTTACTCTTTAATTTTTTAGTCTTTTTGACGAAATGCTTAGTAACATTGAATTGCTTTGAAATATTATTTACAGACCTGCTGGTTGATGTTGTCCAAAACGCTGTTTAAACATTTTGTTGAAATAGTTAGCAAGTTCTTTCATATGTAAGATGGGGCTCCTCAGCAGTTTAAAAATAAAAAACCCTACGATTTATTCGAGTAGGCAAGAATCAAGTTTAAAAAATTTCCTTTTTTTATGTTAATAATAATAAATATTAAGAAATATCTTTGATTTTAAAAAAAGACATGCGTATATATTTTTTACGATTTTTTTCAAACAAAACTCTTTTGTTTAAAAAAATAGTAAAACAGGTTTTAAGCACATTAAAAGTTTCAAGTTGCCACCACGGGCGTGACATCAAGTTTCAGGACCTTATAAGCATAAGTGGTTCTTTTATTCTGTTCAACAAATTAATTCCAAAACATAGCATTAAATCCTGAAGATCCAAGGTACAAACATGCGTGATAATGAAAAGAATGACTCAGTAATAAGTTCATTAAACGATATATTGTATCTGCGATGTTAAGGATTAGGTGCTCCCAATTTTAGTTTTTTTTTTTTTTTTTTTTTTTTTTTTTTTTTTTTTTTTTTTTTTTTTTTTTTTTTNAACTAAAGGACGTGTAAAATTAAAAATTTTAGTTCAAATTTTAAGTGTAAAAATAAAAAAAAATTTTATGTATATATGTAGTTCCGTGAACTGTAATCAGTAATTTAGATATGTTAAAGATAAATTCATACATAAAATGTGCTTTACATGTAACATTCAAAGTTTTCTTAGCACCGTTTACAACTGGTCGTCATTCTACGTACTTATCCCAAAAAAAATTATAATATATTATCACTAATGCTGGGTGCACATAGGCAAATACTAATTTGTATATAGATAAGAAAATGAATGTTCATGTTGCAGTCAAACTTACGGATACCTTTTTGTGTTGCAAGGTTCTTACTTAAATATTGTTAGGCATCTCCTTCAATTTAATTTAAAATTATTTTATCAAACAAACGTGTACATCAATTGTAAGAGATAAGTTGAACGTTTTTCGTAAAAAAGAGAATATTTTTTTAATAACTGCTCAGTACGCATTTTCTGTTTATTATTTTTCTGTACTTTAAAAATTTCAATTGTTTTCTCTATAGTTTTTACTAACAATTTTTAAAGCTTTATTGATTGATTGCTGACAGTTCAATTCGATGTCAAAATTTTGAAAAATGATTATAAAACGACGGTTTAATCATTTTTGCAAGTATGCGCCTTCGAGCACTTTTTTTTTGGACCCGTAAATATGGGATGAAAATCTTATCCTAGAAAAAATAATTCATTTTTATACTGAATTTCATTTTTTTATACCCCTTACCAAGTTAAATCTACTACTACCGATGAAGCCTTTTTTAAAACTATGAATGCTTCAATTGATAACGTCAAATTTTTTCTCATTTTTATTCTGATTCAAATTCGATTAACGGGCTTTTTATGTTATTTAAATCTAAAATCAAGTACGAATTTCTATGACTGATAGTGCATTTTGCAGACATGATGCCAGGTCAGGTTAATGATAGAATTTTTTCTACTCTCAGCCATAAAAAATTACAATAATATCGAATTAAAAATCTTTTTTTCTCATACCCTCGCCAAAAGTACGACTTTGTTCCCTGGTTTCAGAAAGAAAATTGCAACATTCCTCCAATGTAGAAAATCGCATGTACTGCTTATGGCATCGAAGCAAAATATTTTTCATAACAAGCATTAAATATGATTTCTACCTGAGAGGTTATATTCCATTTTCTTTCCTGAAATCACGGAAAAACGTATTTTAGGCGAAGAAAGAGAAAAAATCGTATACGGGCCTCGGAAAAAAGTACATCATTTACCGGATATTTTCTACTTTAGATAAAGGCGAGATGTGGCAACTGACACCCGGAAGAAAACGCCGTACTTTTTTTTGGTGCGTAATATTCTATTCCAAAATCCTGAAGATGAACTATAAAATGATATCTAAATTCTTAATAACATGTAATTCAATTAATATTTTTCTACTCGTTATTACATTAAACATGCATTAACTTAAACTTTGTCTACACAGAATGCAATTTAATTGCTAGAAGTACGTTTTACAAATTATTTTTATAAGTTTTGAAAAATCAAATAAATAAAAATATTTTCATCCTGATTCAATAATTACTTTGAATTGTTTTTTCGGGGTTGGCACGCGGAGCACGCAGTTAATCTTTCCAACGTGCCCCATGAGCAGTAAATTAAATCTTAGAATTAAAATTTTATTAATACCTATCAACAATGATTGAATACAACATAAAAATTAACAATATTATAATGGATGTTACAGAATACATGAACGTTTCAATGTTTTTGTTTACAATTAAATAAAATTCAAGACCTTACGCACAAATTATGAAACAAATATTTTTCGTATAAGATTCATTAACTGAGAGTTGTTTAAAATTTGGGAAAATCAACTATTTTTACAGGATTTTTTATTTTGAAACTTGGGAACAGTCCAATTTTTCCTGTTCTTAAATTTCGTCCCTTGGAAAATCCGTTCCAATGATTACCGAGTAATTCTACTTCATCGTTAATTTTTAATTCAATTTCTTCTTTTTTCGTTGGTTTATGGTTTATAATTACAATTTGTGGATGTGGATTTTGTCCTCCATAGTAATAAACATCGTCTAAAGATGCAAATTTATCATGTGCATCAACATGATAAGTTTGCATCAATTCGTAAGCTACACGACAAACTTGTGAACTAAATGTACAAACTAAATAATCACACAGTGATAGAAAATGTATATCTATTATTATACCTTGTAAAGATAAATTAGTGTAGCGACGAGATATTGATGCAGTTTCAGCTATATTTACATCTGCTATTATATGGTAATCAGGGTAACGCTGTTTAGCTATTAATATAACTTTCGCTTCGTCACTAGCTAAAAAAATACGTCTTATTTTAGGTTGTACTTCCAAGGCATCATAATATTGTTTAACTTTAAGTAAATATTCATCAACATCGTGAAAAGCTGCTTCTGTTCCTACTTTATCTGTTCGTCGAACATGAATTCCAACTATGGGGTTGACAAAATTTATTTTCTTTTTTTTTTCAGTCAAAAAGTCTCTAGTACTGTTGTTTGGTCTCATTAAATACTTTAGCACTTGGCCTACCCACCAAACTATTGGATATCCATGCAATTTTTGAAGTCTTTGAGCTATGTCAGCTGGTACACTTGGTGGTTGGTATACAGGTTTTGGATATACGTTATCAACAATCGGTAGAGAAACTACTTTTTTATTGTCACCTGGCCAATTAACATACATCTCTTCACTACTTGATATACAAGTATCACTGAGCGGCTCAAAAATAGACTCCCAGCCTTCTTTTTGATACCTCCAGCCTTTGGACTTCAGAATGAGCGTTCTATTAGTCCCATAAGCTACAACAAAGCAGTAGACTAAATGATGTATCTGTAAATAATTTATGGGTTAAAAAATATTAACCAATAACTCTGTTCGATTTACATTGATTATGATAAAAATTTGTCAACCTGACATCCAAAGCCGCATCCTTTATTTATATTACAAATAAGCTTTCTTGCTGTTTCACAATTTTTTGGATTTTGGAGGTACCTGCCGAAATAAAGAAAGTATTAGTCCAAAATAAAACTACCTGAGAAAAAAATGTTAGTAAAAATTGAGTAAATTTTATTGAAACAATACAAATTAGAGTCTGATGGTCGTGGTAAATTCAAGCATGGTTATCACTTTATTCTACTCATGTAGCTTAAAAAGTTTATTAAATAATTAAAAACAAGATCCAATGGTGATATTGTCATATTTTTTATTTACTGAAAAAAAAAAAAAAAACTACGTTTCAGCCGTTTGGATAACGTCCTGGTCTTCATCAGGTACATAATATAAAACTCTGACCCTTACGAAATGGCCGAAACATTGTTTTTGTTTTTTAATAAATACAAAATATAACAGTACCATCATTGGACCTTGTTTTTAATTATTTATCAACTGTCATTGGATGTCTCATTTACTTATTAAATAATCTTTATAATATTTGCAAAGTCGAAAAATGTGACTCATTCCACTTTAAAACTGCTGATAAGATTTAAATAGAACACACTGTGGAGGTAGAGTATGCCTTAATATCGTACGTTGGTATTGAGACAGAATTGGGGCACTGACTTCAACATAGATTTTTAAAACACATATTTTATCTTTTTAACACTTATTGGACTCTTAAAGGACTTTAAGCTAATTCTACCAAACTAATGGCCAGATTAATAAGTAAAGTTGCTCTCAGGTTAAGCATATGTACAGTATAAAAATTAATGTATAAAAGAGACCCTTTCATTAATCTGATACAGGTAGAAGAACAACTTATGTACTTTAAATTTGACTCTTAAAAAATAACGAAAACGTAGATTCTGTTGAGAAAAAGTAAGGGAGAGCCCATTACCTGATATGATTTTTACTTACGTTATGAACTTACGGTTTGTTTTAAAAGTTCTAAAGTATAGTTATTTAATCTTTTAAACAAGATTTTCACTAGTTTAACATAAATTTAATGCCATAGTCTTAAAAAAGATTAAAAAATGTATTTTCCATGGTTGATTTAAATTTCTCAATTTAAAAATCTAAACCGTATGCAGCAAATTTTTTTTTAAGGTACTTTTCAAATAAAGATAGGGGACCAACATAACCTCAAAACTCGTGTATTTCCTAGAATACAATTTTTACCACTAGGATCAGGTGTCACATCAAATAAATGTTACATTTATTTTAAAAATTTTTTGTGCACGAAAGGTGTTAAAATAGCTAATTTATGTAATGAAAACAAAAAAAGCACTCTTTACCTCCGGTGGGAGACTGGGTAAACGTGTATGTCTGTAGGCGCGCTCTATACTCAAATAAATTAACGATTTCAGAAATCTGGCTTTAAGAAAATATGTGACAGAAGTAAATTTTTCATTGTACTTCCCTCTCACCCCACCCCGTCACGCCGCAACACCCCCTTCCACACCACAGCTTGCATGTTAAAAAAAAAAATTTTGAATTTTTTTTTTTTCTTTAACGAATTCATCTAGAGCTTCAATAGCTTAGTAGTTAGTATGCTAGCCTCCTAGCCAGAGATACTCGAGGGGTCATAGGTTCAAATCCTGTCGAAAATTTTCGAAATATTTTTCTTGGGCATCTTTGATGATTTGGATCAAGTACCCAGGGTGCCGAAAAATCATTCATCCGATTTTTATTACTAATAGTCAATTTTTCTTGTGATAACTGGACCTCCACAGGCTTTCTTTTTGAAGGAAAGCCAATACCTGGCCAGCTCCCCAGTAAATTCTCTGTAGATTACAAAAAGGTTGGTACAGCGACTTCAATGATTTATTGAAAAATATCTTTCCATCAAACTTGATAATAGCTGGGGTGTGCTTGAGACAATCGCTGCGCCCTGTAAATGATACCGAGTAGAATGGCTGATCAAGTCTTCCGAAAGGAACTTTGCAAGGGACCCGCACAAAAGACTCGCACACTGTGCAGTTAGGGCAAAAACTTGAGAGCAAAAAAGGTCTCTGATATGGCAAAAGCTGAAAAGAGTCCTGAAAATCAAAATACCAAAACCAATACCAGTAAAGAATTTACCTAAAAAAAACTTTTTTTCAAGCCAAAAAATTTTAACCGACGATCTTATGCACACGAGCTAAATATCTTACCCATTCTACTGTCGGCAGTCCCGATAGAGAAATTGGTAAATTTTTTTTATAGTGTGGTTCGTAACTTTTTTTTTATTTGAATAATTATTTATTTGGTTTGATTCTAAATCATATTATTTAGTTAATTATTTATTTATAAACTTATGTTTTTACATAAATTAGTAATTTTTTTTAAAACTAAGAAAACAATATTTTATAGCAGCAACTTTTTGAAGTATTAATGGATATTTTTTGAATTTTTGTTCATTTGTCAACTTTTTAGTAAATGAATAAACAATTGTTTATACAATTTTTTCTCATTTTTTCAAAATACTTAAAATTTTTTATAGCAGTTTTTCATTTTGGTTATCTTTCTTCCATTAATGGTTTATCCATACTAAATTACATGAATGCATTAATTAACTTCGATTGCGTTTTATTAGTTCACAATTTTTTCGTTCGCGAATACAGTAATTTTTTGAGTTAAGGAAGTTTATCATAGTTAGCAGGAAGAAAGTCGAAATAGGTTAGATGAACGTAAGTATGCAGCAACGCTAGTATTGATTTTGCTCATATGGATCTCTCTGAAAATTTGATAGGTTCATCTAATAAGAACCTATCATACAAAAAAATTTGGGAGATTTCTATGGATTATTTCTTTATTTTAAATGCAATTTCGCGTAATTCTTCCATAAGGTTACATGTTTGATTGAGATTCTTTTTAAATTAAACATAGAAAAAGCGATACATCACAAAACAATCATAGGTCACTGCCATCAATCACAACACACTGCTGGTAGAAAAAGTATTTTGCTATCCTTTGCCTTGGTTGCCTCACGGAGGATGCCAAAATACTTTTCCTAATAAGCAGTAAATGCGGTTTTTAGTTGAGAGGTTATGTTGCACTCTTCTTCCGGAAGAGTCGTACAACGGAAAACGTCGAACTATCAGCGAAGAAATAGAAAAAAAATAACATACGGGCTCCCGAAAGAAAGTACGGCATCATCTTCTAGGTGTGAATTGACACGCGAGGCAAAGGTAAATACTGAACTTTCTAATGTACTATTGTTTTGCTATTTTAATTGAGCTTATATTAATTAGAATGTAAATTAAACCAAAATCGATACTTCTTTATTATATTTAACTAATTTTTTTCTTCAACTTAACCATGTAAAACTAGCTATTATTTGAACGTTTCAATGTTTTTGTTTACAATTAAATAAAATNACGCAATGTTTTCATCGGGTGACCAAACATTAGATTAAAATAAGAAACGGCCGTACCTGGTGCCCACCAAACATCGCTTACAGAGCGCTTTGTCTTAGAAGACTAAGTCCCAGTAGAGGCGTCTTTCTTTTCTTCTTTTCACAATTATTGTAAACTGCGTTCAAACATTATCCTTTTGAGTTAAAACTAAGCGTTGCAGTCTCAACTAAGACACTCAAATATATATATATATGAGGCATTCTCCGTCAACTCGGCCACCCCCGCCTGTCCAAAATTGGGTACGATTTTTTCGGGCATCTTTGGGTTCAAATTAAAGCTTATTACCTCTAGTTTTAAATGCTGAGTGGCGTTTGTCGAATTTCGAAAATGGCGGACCACTATGACGCAAACAAGTCAACCTCCTACCGATGAAAAAACAGTTATTTTAACCTAACACATGCATCACTATTTAGAAAATTGTGCAAATATTTTTTTCTTATGTATTTTATAACGCTGATGACGAATTCACTCTTCTTATTTATTGAAAACCAAATGTGTCGTTCCTAACTTCAAAAAACCTATTAAAAAGTAATTTTTAGCGTTCAACAATCCACCAACTCATAATAAAGAAAATGTAAAATCTTTTTGGTATGTATTTTCAATAATTTAATATAGAAGTAACCATTCCCCTGATCATAAGTAATAATTTTCAAACCTAACCTCAAATAACCTATTAAAATCAAATATTTCATGGCAAACTATCGACCAAGTACTAATAAAAAAAAAAGAAAAGCTTTTTTGTACTTACTTTTATTGATTCGATGCCAAATCACCCTATTTTCAGTTATAACGACTGTTTGCTGCACCTAACCTCAAAAGACCTTTTAAAAAAGCAGTTGCATTCGATTGCAGTCCTAACTAACATGATTTGGAGAAAAAACTCACATGAGTGTATTTTTAATTCTAGTCTTTTCTTATTTTTGACTTTACATTCTGTACGTTGTCCCTAACCTCAATAACCTTTGGGAAAATTAGTTTTTTGTTTTCCATTGTTTTTAGAAATCCTCATCATTTTAATTAGAAAACATTTGAGTGTATCATCATCAACGCAACATACAGTTAATCTGTTCCTTAATCAGAAATACTGTGAGTTTTCTTAACCTCAAAAAAAATTTTTTAAAGGAGGTTGTGTTCTTAACTTGGTTTAATTATTTATCCTAAAATTTAGACAGTCATAGTGTTTTAAGGTAAAAAATGCATTTAAAGCTACCTCTTGCATCTTTAAGATTGGCTGATAATATCCGAATGTTAATTTTCGTTTGAAGTGTTATCTATTGTCTCCGACTTTCGACAACTCATCAGTGGAAAATAGGCCTTTGCCAAAACAATAACTCTAATTTTTAGGAAATAATGTAGGTAACTTGTTTTTATTTTTTCAATCATCTGATATACAGTCTATCGATTTTCTAACTGTACTTCTAGGTTTTGTTTACGAGGACGATAACTTTTGGTGAATGCAAAGGTATGCATATTAACAGACACAAGAAATTATGTTATTTTGTTTAATTGTTTGTAAACTCAAAGCCATTTGCGGCATTTGAAAATCTTTTTACAATCATTTTTTTTTCTGGTAATACTACAAAAGAATGATTTTTTTGTGTTTCAGGGATTGGTGGAGCATTAGCAAATCTATTTTTTAGTCTTCTTTGTACTCTTGTATGATCTGCACTGCTGTAAAAAAATACTTCGATTTTTTTACAATTTTTTTTACCCTATTCCAACAATAATTTAGGATTAGTTATTGACTCCGTCAGCTTAGCTAATAAACTTGCTCGAGCTGCTTCACGTTTGAATGTGCCACCAATGGCATCACACGAGCTTTTTCCATGGGCCGTGGCGTTAAAATGCCATTCTGCTGCGATCCCGAAGTCTGCTTTATGATTGATCAAATTATGTAATTGAAATCGATTCTTAAAATGTTGTTTTGCTCCATCTGTTACATAGATAACTTTTTTAACAGATGGAACTGTTTTTCTTATATGCGGTAAGAGAAGTTCTTGAACTGTGTATACAGCTGCAGTATCGTGCTTGGTACTGTCTGATAAAACTATCAGGCTCTTATGTTCCAAATCAGTATCCGTTTTAAAGTAATAAACAATAGAAAAGACAGAGCATTGGTCGTTGTTGAAGTGGAATGCTTGAGCGGCATCTTGAATGACGTATTCATAATTCTCAGATAAATCCATATGAATTAAAACCTCATTAGAACACAAATTTTTTTTCGATGTTTGAGATATAGTTTTTGCTGTTGAACGATGTACGCATGAGGTTTAAATAATAACAACTTCTGACGCAGCTCATGAAGAAATTCTTCAGCCGGAAGAACCACTGTCTGCAAAGTACATCTGTCTGTTGTGGTCCACGAGCTGAATTGAATTTCTGTGATATTCCAACTTTCAAAACATTGCAATAGGGTTTGTAGCAAATCTTTAATATCAGGGCACTTTGCGCATTCTCCTAAGTGACAGGAAACTCTATTTTCATGATAAACCATTTGTTCTAAGCAATCCTTATAGTTTGATATGGGTTTATCAAAATCTTTTGTCAATTTCTCAATATTTATGGCATCTAACATCAATTTGCAATTTTGATGGATCGTACATATACAAACACAATGCGTACCACTAGCTCCGGCTAGTATACAATTCTTGGGTCTTAGCTTAGAAAATGTACTGAATCCAACAGCGTTTTTTATGTTCTCAGTTTTATATTGTAAATACAAATCTTTTAGGTCTGAAAGTAAAAGACGCTTTTGTACTAATGCACGATTATAACCTTCTTTAATAGATACTACATCCTTAACGCCAGGCATAACTCTACTGTTGCCATCGCTTTTGTAAAAATTAACGACCAGAGATACAGTTTCTTGCGGTAATTTTTTACCGACTTTCGTTGCGTAAGTACTAAAAACACCATTTGAAGCCTGAAGGTCTTTTGCCTTCTTTGCAAGGTACCTGCTACATTGAAATTCAGCAGCTATTTTGCGTTCACTCCAAGATACTGGTGCAACAGTGAGAATTCGCAGAAAAAACACTGAGACGTTTGGATCAGAAATAGAAATCGTGATATACAATGAATTTTACTGCGAAATAAACAAGCGAAATATAAAATTTTTTTGTTTTATTCTGAGACTTTGTACTCATATCCGTAAGCGATATATTATTTATATTTAATAAATCTCACTTTCTTTATAGTAACCATAATAGTAGTATTAATGTTACTTAACTAAATCAACAGCCTAGTTCTCTAGCCATCCGAACAGATGATCTAACATTTTTGTAATACATGCTGGTCATAAAGTAAAATCCCTAAGAATGCAAATGTTTATGTGCATACCTTTGCATTCACCAAAAGTTTTTGTCCTTCTAAACAAAACCTAGAAGGATGGTTAGAAAAATAATAGACTGTATATCAGGTGATTGAAAAAATAAAAACAAGTTACCTACATTATTTCCCAAAAATTAAAGTTATTTTTTTGCACAGACCTATTCTCCACTGGTTAGGAAAACTCACAGTATTTCTGATTAAGGAACAGATTAACTGTATGTTGCGTTGATAATGATACACTCAAATGTTTTCTAATTAAAATGATGAGGATTTCTAAAAACAATGGAGAACAAAAAACTAATTTTCCCAAAGGTTATTGAGGTTAGGGACGACGTACAGAATGTAAAGTCAAAAATAAGAAAATACTAGAATTAAAAATACACTCATGTGAGTTTTTTCTCTAATTCATGTTAGTTAGGACTGTAATCGAATGCAACTGCTTTTTTAAAAGGTCTTTTGAGGTTAGGTGGAGCAAACAGTCGTTATAACTGAAAATAGGGTGATTTGGCATCGAATCAATAAAAGTAAGTACAAAAAAGCTTTTCTTTTTTTTTATTAGTACTTGGTCGATAGTTTGCCATGAAATATTTGATTTTAATAGGTTATTTGAGGTTAGGTTTGAAAATTAGTACTTATGATCAGGGGAATGGTTACTTCTATATTAAATTATTGAAAATACATACAAATAAGATTTTACATTTTCTTTATTATGAGTTGGTGGATTGTTGAACGCTAAAAATTACTTTTTAATAGGTTTTTTGAAGTTAGGAACGACACATTTGGTTTTCAATAAATAAGAAGAGTGAATTCGTCATCAGCGTTATAAAATACATAAGAAAAAAATATTTGCACAATTTTCTAAATAGTGATGCATATGTTAGGTTAAAATAACTGTTTTTTCATCGGTAGGAGGTTGACTTGTTTGCGTCATAGTGGTCCGCCATTTTCGAAATTCGATAAACGCCACTCAGCATTTAAAACTAGAGGTAATAAGCTTTAATTTGAACCCAAAGATGCCCGAAAAAATCGTACCCAATTTTGGACAGGCGGGGGTGGCCGAGTTGACGGAGAATGCCTCATATATATATATATTTGAGTGTCTTAGTTGAGACTGCAACGCTTAGTTTTAACTCAAAAGGATAATGTTTGAACGCAGTTTACAATAATTGTGAAAAGAAGAAAAGAAAGACGCCTCTACTGGGACTTAGTCTTCTAAGACAAAGCGCTCTGTAAGCGATGTTTGGTGGGCACCAGGTACGGCCGTTTCTTATTTTAATCTAATGTTTGGTCACCCGATGAAAACATTGCGTTCCGACAATGGGCGAGAATACTGCAACGAGATGTTGTGTAAGTACTTGAAGTCGCATGGAATAACACACGAGACGACTGCACCTCACAAGCCAGAGCAGAACGGAAAAGCAGAGCGCTATAATCGTACGATTGTCGAATGTGCGCGTACTCTACTGCAGGCGCGTGGAGCACCAAGGCACCTATGGGCGTAAGCAGTGAGTACTGCATTATACACCTTGAACCGAGTTTCGCAGTCAAATTTAGACAAAAACATAACCTCCTATGAAGCGTGGACGGGACAGAAGCCCGATCTCAAGCATACACGAGTGTTTGGCTCTGTAGCTTATATGCACGTGCCCAAGAATTTTACCTCAAAATTCGATGCTCGGTCCCAGAAAGTCTACTTGGTTGGTTATGA